TAGCTACGTCGGCCGTACATGCGTCGTGCACTGTACATCATTAATGCCGCGGTACATGTATTATCCAATAATTGTCGCGATGACGAAAGTTTCGCGTGGAAACAGAACGTGCGGCGTGCATTCGCAAGCGATATCAGAGCTCGCATAAGTTCAGCAAACATCATTACGCCCGCGACTCTGTAACGAATGTGAGGCCGCGGGGTTTGTTAATTAAGAAGATACGTCAGCCCGCTCGTGTTGTTTAATGCAATCTGTTCCCCGGAAAACCCTCGACAAACAGTTGGTCGTCCTCTCTCCGCAACTCGGGTACGCGCGAGACGTGCACTTTAGCCGCCTCCGCAAGAATGTGATCTGCGCGCGAAACTGAAAGGAATTTATTATCTGTCCAATTAAGACGGATAATTATGCAGCCGTGTCCGCCACTCTGGCTTTGCGCTAGCTTGTTAGTTGTATAATTCATGCGGGTACGTCATGTATTCGTTTTGAAACCATCACGGATCAGACTTTTATCATTTCTCATTCGAATCGCGTGCTCTTAAAAATACGACGCCGTAATTACGTTTTTATTTAAAACTTTTCCCCCCCGTTATTACACTTGTATCTCGATGAAATTTCCATCTTTAAACACATATTATCCTTGTATTATCTTGTATACCTTATATAAAAACATTTTTACACATTATTACCAATCATACACGGCAAAGAGTAAGAACAGATTTTCTAAAGTACCTTTAAAAATTTAGCTATATACAGATTTGAAAACAATTTTGTCAGAATTTCATCAAAATAATTTTGTATAATAGGATCTGAAACTGATTGCTAAAATATCAAAATTTTTTTCACCATGCTTGAATTTTCTACATAAATTTTTTAATCCAACAAAATTTTCAGATTTGTATTCGAAATTTTTAAATAGTTTAGCAAACTTTTTTTCCGTATATGTATAAAATAAAACTTACACGGAAAAAATGATTTTGTTGAAAAATCTGAAAATTTAGCTACAGATGAAAATAAATTTGTTTGAACCAAAATAATTATACAGAAAACTTAAATTAGTTGAAGTGTTGAAACTTTTAGTAGCTAAAGTGTTAAAACTTTTTATGGTATTGCTCATCGTGCTTGAGATTCCTACGTAATTATTTTAAATAATTCAACAAAATTATTTTTGGACGTGTATTTAATTAAATTAGATACTATAGCATTCGTTCTTACCATATTTAAATCTCGTAGTAAAATTCGTCTATAGACGGAACGATAATTGCTCATTAATCATTTGAAATGCTTTAAAAAATACAATTCCTCATTACGCGTAACTTCGTTACATTACACGAGCGCTCCGTCACCCTTCTGTCATGTTCGCGTCGTATCATGTTAGGTGCTTTCACGGCAATTGTGCGGGACCGGACTCGCCCGAAGAAGGAAATCGATGCGGGTTATAAATGAGAGCTCGTCTCGCCGATCGCGGAACGTACAATATATGTTTTGGCAGTGTCAGCACTGTAGTAACGTGACGAATTGTGTGTATCCATCGCGACACGTACGCGGAGACAATTCTGGGGGCGTCATGGCGTCTGTCGCACGCATGTCGCGCCATCATTATGTATAATTATTCACCGGGCCACGTCTACAAGATCTAGAACATGGCAGATTAGATTCTGTCCATCAATTTCATCCGATGATATAATCCACGTGCACTGCTATCCCCTGCTTTGTTGTATTAACTAACAATATTCCTGCCCCATAATTAATACCATTATTTGTCATCCGCTCAATACGTTTCAATTTTGATCCATCATTTAATTTCTAATGCGATGAAGATCTAACTTAGCGCTAAGTCCGCTTTCTGCGTTTTTGAACAAACGTGATATATTGAGTTGATAAAAAAGTTTTCTCGGTTTTGTCAGGTGATAAACGTCGCTTTAATGTATGAACATTTTCTTTTGTTTTAGCAAATGCATTCATAATCTAACAGCTCATATATCAATGTGTCTAGTGAAAAAGTATCAAAATGAATAGAATTTACTGCTTGTTATAAAAGATTATAACAATGGAAGATTAAAAGACACATTTTTGTCATATTATGTTATAAAGGTAAAAACGCTATGCAAATCTCGAAATGATACATGCAGTGTACGATGAAGAGATAGTGTGAAGGTCGCATGTGTCAATTTTAGTTTGCAAAGTTCCGTGTTGAGAATTTCTCTGTTGAAGACAAGTTGTACTATTAAAAATTTCATGAAATTTAATGTACTTTTAAGTTACACAATTTGAATTTAATTTTATGACATTACATTACATTTAATGTATTTATAACAAATATATTTGTATATATGTACATGAAAAATGTATTTTTCATCAAACTTTATGAAATTTATGAAATTTAATTTAAACGTTCATTACATTTAAGTATAACTACTGTAATTTAGTTTTCAGTTAAATCATTTATTACTTTTAATTTCATTTATAATTTTATTTATACCACGAGCTTCATTTACATGTAAAGGAAGCATTTCTATAATAATAGGCCAATTACAGTAGATGATAATGAAATCAAGACTTCATCAAAAATAATTCGCATCAAATCATTCAAGATATCGCAAAAAAGCTTAGAATATCTAAATCGAGTGTTGAAAGTCACTTGCACAAATAAAAAATGGGAAAACTTTTTGGTCAATTCAATATTTTGAGCGTCTTATACTCATAATGAATAACGATATACAATCGGATATATTTTTGTGTACCTTTTTTATTATATCTTTATTTATAAAAATCTAAAAAGTAGAATCAACTACTTCATTGAAATATTATAAATATAAAAAGCATGTGTATGCGAGGAGAATAGCATATTTTTGTGGATAAGAGTCAAATAATCACGATTCAAATAATCACGATTTTACAATAAATACCGAATACAATGTTTAGAGTAACGTCTGTCGAAACAAAATAAGGAAGCAAATTGAAGCGAGTTTACGATACTTGTGCCTAGCTTTCGATAGTGAAATGCATCGTTACGTGGAGGTAGAGAAGGGTCACTCGATATGAGATCAATCGCTTCCGATGAGGATGCATCTCGGTTGCACATATATATATATATATATATATATATATATATATATATATATACACAGATATATTCGCCGAACATTGTTCTACACGCTTAT